CTCTGCAATAAGCTCCTCAGGGACGCCACCACCATCTCCGAGTGCCTACATACATGTGAGTCTCACGTGATCCCACCGGTTCTGTGATCTGGGGGTCCGGGCTTGATTATGTTTGGGTTGTTTGTGTTTCGAGGGATTTCGGGCCTGGGGTTTGTCGTGTTTTTTTTTTGTTTGCTGATGTGGGTCCTCGTCAAAAATTTGATCTTGCTGCCGGGGTGCTTTGATGGCTGTCGGTTTCATGAAGATTTGATGCTTGCTTTGTGTGCGCTTTGTTTTTGATGAGTTCTCGTTCGTTTTCCCTTTCGCTGGTTGCTTGTGCTTTAAAGGCGCTTTATTCATTTGATTGCGTAAGTTAAACGTACGTTGATTTCTGAAGTAAGTGTTGAGCTTCATGCATGGGAGTACTCTGATTGGAGTTGATCGCGTTCACACCCTTCTGTTTCGTTCTAGCGTTGGTCTTTTATTAGGAAGCTTCCTTCTCTTTCCTTTGTTGTTCTTGAAATTTATAATATATGGCGTATCTTGTGCTAGTATGGTGACAAGCTTACGTTCAGATTATCCAGATTATATTTATTTACGCTTCCCTTTAATGGAGTTGTTGGAATCTGGGACCTGTACTCGGTTATATAAACTTCTTGCTTCGCTTTGTTACAGTATTCGAGTTAGTTTCAGGCGGACAATGAGCAATGATATTTCCGTTGTTTCCCTGCCTTACACAGTTTGCAGGAAATGCATTTTTGAGAAACTAAATGACGAGGAGGTGGACTGCTGTCCAGTGTGTAACATCGATCTGGGTTGTGCTCCACTGGAGAAGCTCAGGTAGGCCGCCCATTGTTATGATTTTGTTTTGTATTGCGCTATATTTATCCTTGAGCCGATTGATTGAATTGCATATGTTATAGTTGCTAAGTACTTGGCTGTGCTGGGAAAAGTCTTACGATTGGAAACTCATATAATTAATGTTAATTATGTTAATTGGGGAAACCACTATTTGATTCTTAGGTCCAAAAGCAATACAGCATGTACGCATCTATCTACCTCTTATCCTTTACAGTGTAGAACTAAACTCCTGCCTTTTTAATGTTATTAATCTACTCCACAGTTGTACATATGTGTGTTTATGTGTCATGCAGATTGTATTAGCTCAAGATATTTTGCAGGAATAGGTTCTTGATATGATTTCAAACTTAGATCAATATAAGTTACCTTCTTGGAAACTTGTGCAGGCGGAGAATTATGCAAAGTTCAAATAAGCACTTACATGGCTAAAATGCAAGCAGTGTTTACAAGAGCATTGGGGTTGATACCCCCCTGCAGTTTGACTGTTTGAGATATGTAACCCATAAAGGGGCATGTTGCAGCAGTAACGACAAATATGCTTATAGCTGAGGCAACACCTGAAATACTTCATAGAGAGGCACCATTATGAATATATCAATCTTTATGTACTTTGACTACTATAAAGTTGTTTAGAGATTTTGGACTAGATACACAAATTTGTGCAAGAGGTTATTTTGTAAAGAAATGATACTACTGATTACAGCCAGTGAGGATTAAACCTGCAACATTTTGCAATAGATGAATCTTAAATGAAATGTACCAACTCGTTCCCACATATTGTGAGGTCAACGTGCACATTTGACCTCATGATCTTTCTTCCTTCATGATTTCCAATAGAAAGTCGTCCAACATCATCCAGTTTGCTGACACAGAGTGATCCCTTTTGTTAGATACAAGACTTCTTCTTAATCAAGACATGAGGAAACACGTGTGGAAGGTGTACGTAATTCATAAATTTACAATATGTATCTAAATATCCCTAAGAGATGATCAGAAGAAAAGAATGTAAAAACCCACCAAAAAAAGGGATAGTCTTTGCTCTTGTTGTTGCCATTTGCACACATTAACACCCTATTTGTATCATGTCAGAAACTGTGAAGCATAAAACAATAAAGAGTATAAAAGCAACATAGTATCATTTATTGTAACTTGCTCCATTAAACGGTCTAGTTCCATCCACCTTATGCATACATTCAGTTGCGGAACATTGTTCATTGTTGTATAAAATACGGATGAAAACCTAAATTTTCTTAGCAAGTAGAAATTTCCTAATTATTAGAATTCGGAAGCTTCTATCCTTAAGGACATAACAGTTTGTAAATATAAGTCCAAGAAGCTACTGTATGGATGAATACTGCTTGGTTGGCCGTTTTAAGTGAAGACAGTAGTGAAAGAATGAAGTTCTGATCCCATCAAGTCGACTAGATTGGCAGATTGCAATGGAGACTCAACTTCAATATTTTTACTGGCCAAGTGGGTTCTATTCCGCTACCTTTAGCCTTAAGCGACATCAGCACTGACATCTGACATTAGAACTTACTTTCAGATGTCTACCCTATAATGAAGGAATGAAGTTCTGATCCCATCAAGTCGACTAGATTGGCAGATTGCAATGGAGACTCAACTTCAATATTTTTACTGGCCAAGTGAGTTCTATTCCGCTACCTTTAGCCTTAAGCGACATCATCACTGACATATCTGACGTTAGAACTTACCAATGTTATATTAAACGCTGGGTGCTCCTAGGCGCCGGACCTGACGCCCAGCGCTTAGACGCCTAGGCGAACGCCTAGGCGAACGCCTAAGCGGTTTCTGGGCGGGTTTTTTTAATTGTGATACTTAAGATAAATATATATATATATATATATATATATATATATATACTCAATCAACAATGCATAAATACAAAAATACCAACACATATGCTATCCAAACTGTAATAGTCAATCAAAGATGTATACATACTAAATAGCAATGCATATAATATCCAATAACTAAAAGTTTAGGTCCCAAAATATCAGCAAAAAGATAGTCAAACCGGAATAGTCTAGATCTAATATAATGAATTAGCAATATGCATCTAATCTAATGTCATCATCAAACATCATCATCATCATGAAGTTCCTCCTCTACTCCATCATCGCTATCCTCTCCAGAATCCATCTCCACACAATCCTCCTCCTCGTCTGAAACATTATCATCTGAGACAATAGGCTCTTCTTCATCATCTATCACTGAAGTAGAAGCACTTGAAGGTCCTGTTAACCTAGAACTCCTCCTATTCTCCGCAGCATCAGCCGCTCCCGATATACCCTATACTATCCTCCAAGTAAGACCTGAGCCAGGATAAACTTCTTCCTCATCATCGGAGCCTGCTCCTTCTAGGATCCATGCTCGTGCCTTACTACGATCAGTAGATAGTAGTAGGTTCTTATTTTCTCCTCTCCTCTTCTTCTGGTTGAGCTTTGAGTTAAACTTCACATAGACCAGTTCCTCTAACCTCTTTGATTCCAATCTATTCCTCTTCTTCGTATGAATCTTCAAAAGTAAAGAACACAAATTAGAAAACATAACTAAGAAGAATTTCATATTTATCATAAGTTTAGAAATTAGTTTACCCCCTCAAATGTGCTCCAATTCCTTTCACAACCAGAAGAGCTGCTTGTCAAGTTGAGAAAAGTTTCATAGCTATATTTTGCATGAAGGGACAATCACCACCATGCAAATACCACCAATTAGCTACAAAAAATAATATATTATTAGTTGATTCACTACCACAATGGCACAATAGATAACTTATAAGTCAATGAAGTCATAAATGATTCAATTTCTAAAATTATTTTACCTGGGTTCAAGTCTGATTTCTCTCTAGCCTTCACCACTCCAATCCTAGCAAATTAACCCTTTCCTTCTCTGTATCTCTCCAACTCTTGAGTATGAATTTCAACTTGTTGCTCTACATCAGGATAAAATAACTCCACCACATCTAGAAATCCATCTTTCGCCCTTTTGTAATTCTTCACTACATCATCCCTATAGAAATAATAAGGGTTGAGGTAGTAAGAAGCCATATGCAAGGGAGAAAAGAGCCGATCCTTAGACTTCCCATCTATAATATCAATCACGAGCTTGAAATCCTTCTCCTTATTCTTGAAAACTTGAATAATCTCCTTCATATCTTCAAGCATCCCCACCACAAATCCCATTGAGGGTTTGTAGTCACTATCGACTACCCTCAACAATCGAAAAATAGGAGCATACACCTTCAAGATCTTGGCCACCGCTGTCCACCAACTATCACTCATAGCAATCGCCTCCACCTTAGCGCCTTTAGCGGTCTTTGCAAGCTTGCATCTCACCCATGCTTCATCGGAAAACATAAATCTCAACTTCCTTTTCTTCTCAAGAAGACTCCGCAGAGTCAAAAATGTAGGGGCGAAACGAGTAACTCCAGGTCTCACAATGTCCCTTTTGTCACAAATGCGACGCATCATTGACAAAGTCTTGTGATGACTATAGATAAAGATGGTGAGGGTCCTCGCCTTCTCAATTGCTCCTTTGAATAAACTCAACTTCCCGATGCTTTCAAGCATCAGGTCAACAGTGTGTGCTGCACAACTAGTCCAAAAAATCCCGATGCTTTCAAGCATCAGGTCAACAGTGTGTGCTGCACAACTAGTCCAAAAAATCCTCGGCCTCGTCCTATATAAAAGCTTATTCGCGGTCATATTTGCAGCTGCATTATCCGTGACAACCTGAATGACTTTATCAGCTTCAATCTGCTCAATAGCCGTATTAACTCACTCAAATATATACTGTCCTGTTTGTGCTTCTTCTTTGGTTTCAATCGACTTATGAAAAGTTGTCCCCAATCTGCAGTGGATGCAAAGATTCATTACCTATCGCATCTTTCTGTCTGACCAAGCATCAGTCATAATGGAACATCCAGTCTTGCCCTACTCATCCTCATGCGTCTTTAAAGAGACTTTTGTTCTCTCAACAGCTCTTCACAATAAGAGCTCCCTTAACATGTACATGCTGGGAGGCCTGTAGCTCGGTCCATAGTCTCCAATAGCCATGCATGCCTTCATAAAAGAATCCGTCGAGATGGCATGAAAAGGGATGGCATTTTCATATGCCCAAGTAGCCAACTGATTATGCACCCAATCTCTCTTCTCCTTCAGGAAAGAATCGTTCACTTCTGTTTGCTTCACTTCTGGCATGAAAGGGGATGGCATGTAATAAATGCATATGACAATCATATGTGGCTAGGAGCAGTTAATTTCCTTGAGCTTGAGATAATAAGTTTAATCACGCTAGCCTGCTAAATTGAAGAACATATACTAAAAAATCCTCACAAGTAATAAGAATCTATCAAACATGAAACATCAGCAGATTAAACTTACTATCTCTCTTAAACATACAGAAAATTCAAATGATCAGGCAACCCACACCTAGAAGCAACAAACACAAGTAAGCAACCCAATAAAAATTATCAACACAAGTCTACAATATCGAATTAATGAGAACCCAATCTGCCTCCATATGTTGTGTTTTTACTCAGACAGTCAGACCCGATCTGAAATTATGGGTTTTCGAACAAATAAGAGCACAGCCGAACCCAAGTTTGAAGTCGTGTTTTACTTACTGTGAATAAATAGAAGTTGGAGATGAGAACGACGAGCTCGAAGATGAGCTCCCAGGTTGAAGACGAGCTCGAAAGTCCAGCACGAGGTTGAAGACGAGCTCGAAAGTCCAGCACGAGGTTGAAGGCGAGCTCGAAAGTCCAGCACGAATTTGGGTTTTGGCGGAGATCGAAGACGAAGTTTTTTTTGTTGGCGGCGTCGGGTGAAAGAGATACGATCTCCCAGGTTGAAGACGAGCTCGAAAGTCCAGCACGAGGTTGAAGACGAGCTCGAAACTCCAGCACGAGATCGAAGACAAATTTTTTTTTTGCTGGCGGCGTCGGGTGAAACTGTGAAAGAGAATTAGGGTTTTGGGTTTTGGGTTTGGGTTTGGGTTTTTGGGAGCGCCCAGGTTGTTTTTTAGGCTTGAATTTGTGGGGC